GATTCAGGTCCTGCCAGCGGCGTCGAGGGTTTGGGGATAAGACAAATTTCTGCTTCTCGGGCGGATCACTGCGCATGTCACACAGCCAGCTGTTGAGCACGGGCAGGCACTTGACTGCCATGACTTCGGCTGCCACGGTAGTCTAGCGGCCAGCGATGGCAGAGTAATCTGAAGTTGGACGGGCGGGGGCAGTTCCATGGCTGGGGAGGGGCACTGATTGAAGAGTCCATGGTAGTACACGCTGATGGCCTCTATGGTGCCGTGGGAGCTAAGGCATGCCATCTGTGGCCCTATGCTGCAGCTTGCGACGCGGGCCTGCCGAAGCGGTCCAGGCAGGATCAAGACGGTGGCAAGGGTCACCAGAGTTGGTGGCCCAGCAGCAAGCGCGGCTGGGAACCCAGAAAGCCCTGACCAAACTGGCACTCAAACATGAAGACGAACTTCGGGTGCAGCGTCCGGATCGGGAGTTCCTGGCCTGTTTTGTTAGACCGCACGACTTTCTGGAACCGCTCCAACGGGCGGCGATGGAGTGGTCGGAGCAGTATGCCCAGGGCCAGGCCAGGTCAAGTCGGCACTCAAACACATGCTGATTCTAGGAGTGCTATAAGGGGAGCTCAAGACCCGCCTCGAAGCGATCCCAGGGACGAGGCGAAGACGCAGAACTACAAGAAAGTGAGCTGGTTGGTGGATGGAGCGAACGCGCTCACTCCGGCCTGGAAGTATTATCGATGGAATCCGGAAACCAAGCGTCAGGAAGTGGCCACTGCGCAGGCCCCTCTGGAGGGCAACAATCTGGGCAAGTTCGGCTCAACCAGGCCGATAAAGCGGAGTCCCACGACGCGGGGGTCCTCCCCTTTCAGATCGTCCTTGGTACGCGCAGTCGCAAATCCGATCAGTGCCACCAGGCGCTTCTGATGTTAACGGGCAGCGCCGCCCTGAAGGTCCTGGGACTCAGAGTGCGGCCAGGAAGACCCGCCAGACAACCCTGCGCGAAGTTTTGGAGGAAGCCTACCAGAACACTCCGTTCTGCGATTGGCAACCCCGTCGTCAACCTCGGGCGAAGGGCCGGGGAGGGAAGTCGCTAGATGTAGAGCATCCGAGGGAGTGATGCCCACGAGCATTGCGCTCAGCGGGGTAGGCCACCCGGTCTTCCGATGACCAAGCTGCGTAATCCCTGTAACTACTGCTACCTTAACTCTTTCCTTCAGGTCCTGATTTGGAGCGGGGCAGTCTCCGATGCTGCGCACCTGTGCTACGGGCAATGCCAGGCGCTCAGTCGCTGTGTGTCCCGGACACCATCACATGGAGTGCATGTCTCAGGGCTGGAGATACATCCGACACCAACATGACCTTTGTGAGTTTGCCACTTTTCTGCTTCCGAAAATCGCAGCACTGGCTTTTGACGGCCTGTGGGAGGCACGCCTTGATCTGCCTCACACCGTTGTGGATTCGGGTCTGCTGACAGGCACGATCACGCTGCACTTTCCTCCGAACTCAGAAGGTGGGACCCTGCAAGCTCTTGTCAATCAATGGAGCAATCAAGACTCAGTACATGCGCTAGCCTCCCACTCGGGTATTGCGCTGATTCAGTTGTGGGTCGCTATGAGTTCTGAGATGGGTCTGGCAAAGAGGAAGGCCTTAGCCGTAAGTGGGAGAATTTTGTGGTTTGCGCCATAGGACTGCGCACAGGGCCTAGGGTTACGGAAAGTCATTGTCGCGCTGCACTCTGTTGTCCTCCGGCCAGTGCTTCTAGTATATCTGTGATGATAGTACCCTGCCCAAGAAATGCACTAGGCGCGATGGGACCCTAACCCACCGAAACTCCTACGTGCTTAGCCTGATACGCAAATCGGACCATTCTCCCGCCAGTTCATCTGTTCCGGTAATTTCGGGTCAGCTTGGTCGCTGACTCCTGCGGGAGGGGACCGCAGATCAATGTTGAAGGATCGGCATGCCTATCGCCGAAGAGTGTTAGGCTGCCTGCAGCACTCCGTGCTGCCTATTATACCAATCAAAACAATGCCAATTTTTCGTTTCTGCCAATTGGCTGCCTTTTTCTGCCATACTCGCCTTGCATCCAGTGTGGGCTGAAAGTTCGCTTGTGCACAGCGGCTCGGCTCAGTTGCGTATTTGCTCACCGGCTGCCACCTGTGCCACCAGCAGCAGTGACCCCAGCATCCGATCATGCTGATTAAGCTGTGCGCTGCCGGCGACTGTTGCGCAAATTTCCGTTAGCGTCCGTAGCCTGCCGGCTGCAGCGCATGAACATGATTTCCTAACGCCAGTGCCATGGGACATCTATCGTGACTCCCTGGAGGAGCATCTTCTATTCCTTGAAGCACGAAGCCTTCTTGCTGAACAGGGAGGGCAGTCTTTGCTGCCTGAGCTGGGAATTGCTCCTGTGAATGACATTGTTCAGTGTGTCTGTCAAGTGCTGAAGGAGCCCAGTCGATCAGCCTTTGTGGACTATGTGGAGGCAGTTGCCGATAGTCTGCCGTCACAGCTGGGGCCGACTGTTCCGCCACCGGTGCCTTTGCCATCATGGCCTGTCATGCCAGCTGAGAGTCTGGCGCATGATCTTCTGGTCTCAAGCTCCAGCTCGCTGTGGAGTGCGGTGAGACAGGTGGCGGCGTGCATTGAATATGATCTGCCGCGCCATCAATGTCTCCAGGAGTGCCCCAAGGCGCTCAACTTCACCATTGGCGTATACTCCAAGCCTCCTTTTGTGGGCCTCTCTAGGCACACCCTGCGCTGTCCCAACATTTGCAGAATGTTGAAGTTGTTCATGCATCAGCTTGCACCGCAAGCAACGTGGACCAGTATAACACCAGTATAGCCAGTCATCTCAACCATGTTCTGCCGCTACATAAAGACAGCCATGGAGGACCGCAACCCAATGCTCTGGCGACGCTCTCTCATTTTGAGCATGGGTCTTTGTGGATTGAGGGGGATGAAGGCGCCTGCTATCAGGAGGGAGCGCAAGGAATGGTCCGTGGGGTACAGACGGCATGATGTGGTCACGTGTTTTCCAGCCCATCAACGCCTCCATTGTACGCAGAAGGCCTCCCTGTATGATCGCTTCACCATTGTTGCATATTCGTGGAAAAACTTTCATTGCTTAGCACCGGCTGTTTGTCAGGAACTCAGGAGGGTGGGCTTTTGCCCCTGCCTGAAGTTCCGCAAGGGATGCAGGGCTGTCCAAAGCCGATCCTGCCACCCATGCTCTGCTGAAATCTCCCTGCTGCGGGCATGCCTTCGGTTTGTCAGGATAACCTGTACTTCGGGGGTTTACCGTCTGGGGTGTTCTTCTTTCCTTTCAGGGCCATGTACAGAGCCTCAAAGCGGACACTCATGTTCGTTCGAGTGCTCGAGCGGACTGTGAGACCTGCAGATGCACCGTGCAAAACTGCGCAGCGCTACACTGGCTGCTGTCACGAGTTGCCAGCTGTCAAGCAACTGGACACACGGAAGTTGCGCCGCTTTTGTGCTACCCTAAGGTCCTGATATAATGGCCTCGAGCAACGGTCCGCAGCTGCGTGCGTGCACAAGAATGGGGTGCACTTTGATGTATGCATCGACTAAGCCTTTCTGCTGCTCCTCCTGCGAGACTGGCTTTGGACAGCACATTTCCTGCGCAACTTGGCTCGAAGCGCTGTGACGCTGTGTCGAATCCCAGGCTGCAACAGGCCCTCTCAGCGCGGTCATACCACGTGCTGCTCTGCTTGCAGTCCGACACTAGCGATGGATCACACCGCTCGCTGTAATGCATTGCTGCGCACATCCTTGGTACGAGCTGCGGCTGGGGCATTAACGGCGGTGGTTTCAATGATGACAGCATCTAGTTTGTCGGAGCCTAATGCAGACAGCCTCGCATGCATACCACTCTACTGCTGCCACTACGGTCGGGTCCCCTTGGAAGCCTTTCTGCCATTTCCATCACCTCGTGTAGGCCACCAGCGTTCCGTTCTGTGTCACGAAATGATGGCCATCATTATCGTGAGTTCTGGCTCGCTGCTTGCGGGAGTCGTGGCGCTGAAGGAAGAGGTAGATGGGGCCGTAGGTGGGCGTGATGTTCCAGCCTGGCCGCGGGTCGTATCCCATGTCCTTGGTCAGGGTCTTCCAAAGGAACTTGCAGAAGATCATGTACTCCACGTTGGCTCTGGCTGCAAAGACCTGCCTGCCGAAGGCATGCTGACTTGCTTCGCTAAGCAGCGGATGGTGGGGCTTGCCGTAGATGATGCCCTGGAAGATGTGATCCTGCTTGACTCCGATGGCCATCACCATGAACTCATTTGGGAGCTGGCCCGCGGGTGCAGGACGGTGTCCTGCCCCCTGGGCCGCGGACGCTTGGGCGGTGCCCCAGTCCGCTGCGAGCAGCTTCAAGACTTCTTTCCAAGGCAGGACAAAGCCGCACTTGATGTCCAAGTAAAGCCCGCCGTGCTGGTAGTGGTAGACGTAGCGGAAAATGTCTGCTCTTACTTTTACTACCTTCTACCTCACTTCCTACTTGCTACTTATAACTTATTACTGTCTATTTACAGCTTACTACGTACTACTGCTTACTACTTATTACTTATTGCTTATTACTTACTATTCATTACTTATTACGTATTACGTATTACTTACTACTCCAAACCTACTACCTACTACCTACTACCTACTACCTACTACCTACTACCTCCTTCCTACTGCCTACTACCTACTACCTACTACCTACGACCTACGACCTACGACCTACGACCTACTACCTACTACTACTACTACTACTACTACTACTACTACTACTACTACTACTACTACTACTCCTGCTACTACTACTACTACTACTACTACTACTACTACTACTACTACTACTACTACTGCTGCCTTCTTCCACCAGTACTAGTCCTGGTACTCCTCCTGCTGCCGCGATAACGTTTACTACTGCCGCCACTACCACCACCGCCACCTTCACTGATGCTCCCGGTCCCCACCTCCTCTAATGATTTTTGGCTCCTGGCATCTGTGGATGGCTGCTGCACGCCGGGGTCCACCTCTGCGGGACTTGTTTGCGAACTACCCTTCTGAGGCTCTAGACCTGCAGCGGCAACTGCGCCGATGGCTAATGCGACAGGTGTCAGAAAGAATCGGCCCTAGGCCCTGGGCCTCCTCGGGAAGCAGCCGGTCAGCGAGCCTTTCAGTGAGCAAACTGCTTCATATCTTGGCTCACGGGCTGCGCTTTGTTCTGTGACGGGGCACTTCAGTGGGCTCCCCACCACTGCAGCTGACTCGCTGGAGTTTTCCGAAACATGCGGCTTGTCTGCAAAAAAGCCACCAAGACCTGCAGCCCGATTGATTGCGCTTAGCACCAGATACATTCACCATTGATGCAGGAAATTCTCCTACCCCCGCCGCCTGTGCTGCTAAGGTCATGATTGCCACATGAGTCTGCGGAAAGCCGTCCTCTAAAGTGGTACAAGCATTAGCAAAATGGACCCGAAAGGGCTCGAAGAGATCTAATAAGTTCTAATTGTGTCCGATTGCACATAGGATACTGCTTGTGCTCTGCTTCTACACCTGAGCACCGCGCGTTCGTTTCTCCACTTTCTTCGACATCTCTGTAAATGTCCTTCTTAGAGGGGCGGAAGACCATGAGAACAGCGGTGTGAATTGGCCTCTTCCTCCTCGGTTGTCATCCAGGTGCCCAGCTCCTGCCCAGGCTGTAGCAGCTCTAGCACACAGCAAGGCCGTGTGGACAGGTGATAGTGCTTTGAACCTCATAGGACACTCAAAGCAGTGTGCTGTCGACGCCTCGACACCCTCTGCGGGCTTGGTGTCCCCTGGCGCTATTGGCACCACACGCAAACTCCATGCACCGACAGCTCGGGCCGACCGTCCGCGGCACTGTCTGCGTCTCCGTCTCGGGAGCCCTTGGCGTTCGGGCGTGGCCGCACCGTTGCTGCTCAGAATGGGTTGCCTCGGCCATTTGGATCCGCCTCTCCTTCAACACACACCACACCTGCATACAGGCTTCAGGCAGCATCTCGGGCCTCCCCAGCTACACCATGATGCACCATGCCTTGCGCAGCTCACGCTCCTCAACAGAGCGGCCGCTGCTGACCTCCAAGTATCTTGCTCACCATGCTGCACGTGCCCTTTTGTGACGTCGCTGCAACCTGCAGGTCCTGTCGAGCGAGCATCGATGCCTCAAGAAACAGGATGAGCAAACCGCTGCCACCATGAGTCTCGTCTCCGACTGGCCTGCTCATGGACGGACAGAACCTGGCTGACCTGATGGCGCAGCCCATGAACACTTCAGGCGTTCAGGCCTGGTCCTGGCCACTGCCTCGTTTTTTTCACCTCCAGGCTTGGTACCACGACAACATGACAACAACTACCTTTTCTCATAATGTCACTGAGTCGACGACCGCTCTCGGCATCGCTCATACTGATACCATCTGACCGGTAGGGTCACCGCGAAAAAGAACCACCCTACTTTACTTTGGGAGATGCCACGCCTTCATCGCAGTCGTCGTCAAGCGAAACAAATCCCACCCCCTGAACAGGTTGAGAGATGGAGAGAACATCAACTTTTACGGGCAATGAGCCATCGTGACAGTTGCACGGACCTGCTGCCTCTTCTTTGCCAGGACTCGTGTCCTGCAAGTCCAGCTATGAAGGCTTGTAAGTGATCATGGGGTCTCGAATTCCATGATCGCATGCCAGCCCTGCCTGGCCCGCATCCAGGACACCGCCGCAGCGATGCCATATCTCTCCCTGCCCTGACAGAACTTCTGACAAACCTTTTGCTTCTTCTCATTATCAGCATTGCATCGTCATGAAGGAAAATCCGCTGAAAACGCCTCCTCCGGCACCTCCATCACTGTGTGCCAAGCGTCAGAAACCACCTTCGCTCACGTGTGTACAAAGCAAAACCTTGCCAAATCTTCCTAATCCATCTCTTCGTTGGTGCACAGGTGCTGCCTCTTTGCTGAGTGACCAACATCTTTCGGATGCTAGAAGCCAGGGCGGCTGGCTCTCTACAACGGCAGCTTGCGACGCGCTCTTCACGTCAGCACCTGCCGCACCCAACCCGCAACATCCTCGGTCAAGTCCGTGGTTTTCACAGAACCAGACCCTTGAGCCACAAACACCAAGGAAAACCCTCGCACAGGAAGTCCACGGAGAAGCTAAGAAGGGGCAGCTGGGCGACCGGTGCTGTCAAGGTTGGTCCAGCATTATGAGATTTCGGCACCTGCAATCTGAACTGCGGCTGCCTCCACTGCAGCAGCTCCGCACAACTGCCTTGAAAAAGCCGTCGTCGTCTGGCGGCTTTGGCCTTTGGCGGTAGTCCCAAACTTGCTCCCACAGCCAACTGCATTCCTCGATGTGCTGGGAGTTCAGGAGAAATAAAAGACGCAATGCCTGAAATTAAAATGTCCTTTTCAAGGCGATCTCCGATATGCAAAAACATCGTATGGTGGTCATTACCGACAAGGCCCTCCCTTCTCATCCTTGCCACTGCATAACCATCATAGCCAACCATCTCACAGTGATCATGAACCGTGATGTCCAAGATGACCACGATGACATAATGAACCTCATCTTCATGACATTCCACCACCATGCTCATGACCTGAGACATCCGTCAATCAGGACATGATCTTGCCGGGCTTTGGGGCTGTAAAGATCAGAGCTTCAAGACCTGTAGATGTTCGATCCTTCGGGCTGCTTATTTGCCTGAGACCTGAGCTGATTCGGAGTCCGAGTGTGATGTTTCTGTCAAACTCACGTGAGTCTTGCATCAAAATTCCAGGTGCCCGCCAATTTAGGTCTACTTTCCACGACCTAATTCTACATCGTGACCTGAAGAATTTCAACCTGACGGCCAAATGTGTATGCAGACCTTTTCCGAGAAAGTGGCACAACGACAATGATCGTAGTCAGTTTTGATGTTGGTGGCGTTTTGGCGATCAGTGTTGGCAGTGGTGGTCATGGGTCTCCTGGAATCACATCTCGCACCGACTTCCGCATGCCGACCCCACCCCCTTGCAATCAACCAGAAACACACAAGAAGAGGACCCGCCGAGCGTGCTCAGAGCGCTGCAGATCATCTGCCACCTGCAGAACGAACGGCCAAGTCTTGGATGTGCATCATCGCATGATCGTGCCCTTGTTGTGCCTTGCTGTAGGTGCCTCCGGACTGTAATGGCCTGGAGCGTGAGTCTTGCCAATCCAGGAACCTGCCATCACAAGTTGCTGTGGCAAGTTTTGGAGCTCAGTTGCTGTCCGCAAGGCCGGCTCACGGTTCACAAAAGGGCCCCACAGTTGGACGGAATTGTCACTGTGGAAATGCGCGAAGAATGCATCTACTGTCGGCTTGATCTTCATGAAAGCCGGGACTGTTCTCACAACGATCATACGAATCACCAGTTGCGAAGGTATGTCATGCATTGGTTACCAGGGCAGTGACATCTGGACCGCAGCATCAGCGGTGGTGTTCGCACCGTCAGATTCCACGGAACTGCCAAGGGCGTGACGAGCAGCTGCCAACTGCCAACATGCCAATGCATGGTCTGCCGAGGGCGGCACGAGGGCCCCAAAAGCTGCTTGAGCGGCGAACCTCCCCGGCCGGGCGGGCAGCCAAGCGCAAACAGCGAGGCTTCAGAACGCTTCGCTTCGCTCAGGCCTGCGATGAGGCGAGACTGCGTCTTTGGAGCAGGGCCTGGGCGATGGAGCCATGAGTCATCATGGGACGACAAAAGCCTAAAGCAATCATCCGCACTGCACACTTTTAGGGAAGCACGGTGGCCATTGCAAGCCGCCCCCTGTCTCTTCGGCACCGCCTTCCGAAAGTAACCCACAAGCAACCTGCTGCATTGTGCTGCTTCCGCCAACCTTGCGGTCGGTTCTCAAGGCCGTCGGGGTGAGAGTCGCATCAAACACCCAACTTGGAATCCTGCACTTTCAGGGTCCAAAAAATGCAGGCATCTTTCCAAAAGTGTTTTCTTGAATGCGCAGGAGAATAGGCGCTGCATGGCGCATCTCATCTTGCAGCAACTTCGCCACTTCTGCTGTACAAATCGGCAGTTCGTGTTGTCGGCAGGGGCTGAGGCCCGTCCTGAGGGGCTCGAAGCTGTAATCGGGCAGCCCAAAGAACTGGAGGACCGGCATGATGAAAACGCCTGGATCCTCTCGTTTCAACTCGCTTTGTCTGAACACTCTCTCTGTCGCAGGTCCGTCAGGAGACTTGCATTGTGCGTCATGTCTTCTGGTGTGACCTGACGCCATGGAGCAGTGATATGGGAACAACCTGCTAGTGAAGGAGGAATTGGACGACAGGCTCAGTAGGAATCAACATTCAGACAACCTTTCCCGTCACTTGCTCGGATCAATGTGACCCCTCTTGCTTGTATAATCTCAGTGCACGACCAGACGCTTTCTTCGGGTACAGGTCTCAAAGAGTTCTTGTCCGTGTGTCCACGGCACAACTGTATCCTGGCCGAGAATTCGGGCAACCATGCAGCGATAGCGGTGCACAGCTGTGCCTTCTTCCCATGCACGATCAGCAGAAATCCAGAAATGTCCTTGATTTTCTCCTGCACAGTTTCTTGCACTTGAGAACCCTTGAAAAGCTTGGACGCTGGTTGAATTGAGAATCAAAGGGCCATGCAGACACCTCAAAACCTAAGTTTAGTAGAAGAGGAGGCACCAAGCCAAAGCCGCTTAGGTTACCAGTGCGAGAATTGAGAAGCGTATATACGAAGTATAGATCGCATGCGGCCCTGCTAATGTTGGTAGAGAAAGACACAAGATAGAACCGACCTCTGCCACGACAGAACAGTCCTTGTTTGGAAATCGCTCTTCGATCAAGTCCCTGCCAAGTGCTGCAAGATTAAGATTCTTGTTCAAGAATACTCAAATTCATAATTCATGCCAGCAGGGCGCCACACGCCCCAAGTGACAGCGGACCACTTCTTTCACTGAGAGGAATGGACATATGAGAATCACCTTGGGCAATTCTTCTCATGCAACATCCCCGGCACTTTACACTTAGGTTAGAAAGGGTCCTGGCCCCGTATGTCCTTGCCATTGCTGCTACATGAAGGGCTGGCCTGGCAGCACCAAATGGTGGCGGTATCGCTTCATGACGTCAAGGCGAGAATGAGGCCCAAGCCCACTGCCCACAGATCGACCCAGTACGATTATGTCCTCCAGGGTCACCACATCTGAAAGACACAGCGTGGCGGCATGGTGCAGTCTCCTCGGACGGATAACGAAGAACCTTCGCAGGCCCCACTGACTGCGACATTCCGTGATACTGCAGCTTTGGTACTCCGAGCTAAAACTAAGCAACACAGTTGAAAAAGCTGCCGAAACACTTATGCAGCTTATGCGCTCCTCCCTGCAAACAACCCCAACCAATTGACAACCGCAATCCTTCATCTCTGCCAAATTTCAAGCAAGCAGCAGAACCCTCAAAATCTGATCGCACCTGCCACCAAAACCCAAGCGCCCCGACTTTCAAACTCGCATTTGGGTTGTGGGGCTGCACTTGTAAACAAAAGAATTCCATTGCGCTCCGTTGTTTGCCAGTTGTGCTTATCTGGCAGTAGAGGTGAGTGTTGCGCATCCATGATGGGTGGAATTGACTTGGGAAGAGCACAACTTGAAACGATGATTGATGTTCCTGACTTCGAAGGTGAGACTGTGAGAGGCTTCCACAAGATGTGGTCGTACCGAATCTAACCTTCGGCACCTTACAGGGTTGGGGCCGCTGGCATGTCAAGAAGCAACCGATGCTGCTGACTAGCAAGTTGACAGCATAGACCCGCTCTGCTGCCTCAGTGACGAATCGAAACGCCAACTTGGCGTTCTCAATCACTGACACCTCGTCTGCCTGCCAATGCTCGCCATTGCACCAGACCAGCAACAACTTTTCAAATCTGACATTATCCTGCAGCAACTGCGGGCACCGAGCCTGTCCACCGGGACAAATTCCGTAGCCCGGGTACTCGACAGCAAGCACATTCACCTCTCCACGGAATCATCTTCTTTGACGCATGCGCAGCATAACTGCGTTTGACTCAAAAACGCGATCGAACTCACGAATCAAAAGTTATCCTGCTAAGAGCAGCTCTTGCTCGAGAAATCAACAAATATCATCAGCTTGTCAGATCTTGTCAGAGCAGGTGGAAAGATATAATCCCCAACCGGGTGAGGCCCTTTCTGCGCAGCCGCCGTCTTGATGCTACGACACGAACCATCGCGGTCCTAGTCCTACCATATTCCCACCAATTTCATTCAATCAAACGATTCGTTGAGCCCAGCAGGCAGCAAACTCGTGCGCTTCCCAGCCTGCGACGCTTTTCAAAGACCCAGCGCCATATTTAGACTTGAAACCTTCCTCCCACGTCGGGACTCTGGCACGGCCAGCCCAAGGTTCTTGCCTGGAACTGCATGCGCAGCATATTGCAGAAGTTGTAGCAGCGCCCGAGGTCCTTGAAAACACACACGATCGACCTAAATCAGCTGCGGTGTGCTTGCTGCACATTCTCCGCTTCCTCCGCATTGCTGTGCATGTACAGCATTACGAATCGCGCAGAGTTTGATGTCAGGAATAGGCACGGAACATTGGCCTCGCAGAAACTCACAAACTGCCATTCAAGGAACTGCCTCATCTTCTTTTTCAACGGGCCACCTCGACGTTTGGATCTTCTGGGTCCAGACTGCGTGGCAACCATATGAGCTCCTCTCACGACAGGCTAACCAACTGTAAAACCGCCAAGCCAGAAAGTCTAGCACAAAAGAAGTTGCCGGGAATCCACAACAGTAACATGACCCAGCACACTTCCCAACCTCCTCGGGAAACGTGTGGAGATCATAGCTTGCTTCTGGTGCCGGGAAAAGCAGGGTGTTGACCTGAGAACTTTTACATGCGAAACCAGAACCATCAACAACTATCAGCAACGAACAACAACCATCAACAGCAACGACGACGACGATGACAACAACGACAACGCTCACCGCCGCTGCTCGCCGCTGCACCGAAAGCTCAACGAATCGGAGTTGCTACGCGAGCTTGCGGCTTGCGCAAGCGAAAACTCAATGAAACCATGAAGCCGCTGCTTGCGGCAGCGGCAGCGGTGGCGGTGGCGGTGGCGGAGGTAGCAGCGGTAAGGGTAGCGGTAGGGGGAGTGGGGGTGAAAGTCGGAGTGGGGGTGGTAGTGGTAGCGATAATGGTAATGGTGGTCGCGGTAGAGTAGCAGTAGAAGTAACAATAGTATATAGAAGTAGTAGTAGTAGCAGTAGTAGTAGTAGTAGCAGTAGTAGTAGTAGTAGTAGAAGTAGTAGTAGTAGTAGTAGTAGTAGTAGTAGTAGTAGTAGCAGTAGCAGTAGCAGTAGTAGCAGTCGCAGTAGTAGCAGTAGTAGCAGTAGTAGCAGTAGTAGTAGTAGTAGTCGTCGTAGTCGTCGTAGTCGTAGTCGTAGTCGTAGTTGCTGTCGTTATAGTTGTTGTAGTAGTTGTGCTTCTGCCCCTTCTGCCCCGACTGCTCTCGCGACGGATGAGAGGCGGAGTCGGACGCAAGAGTCGAGAACAGGCGGGGGGCAAGTCAGGAACGAGAACGAGCAGGAGTCAGGAATGGCACGAGGTGGAGTCGGCCAGAATCGGCCAGAACGCGAGGGCGCAGTCAGGAACAACCCTAAACCCTATAAACCCTTAACCCCAAACCCTAAACCCCCTAAACCCTAAACCCCTTAAACCCCGTACACCCTAAACCCCCTGAACCCTTAACCCGACTCGCGGGGGGCCATTCCCGACTCATCTCCTGGACATGCTTGACTGGGCGTTTGCCTGTTCCGGACTCTCCCGTTCCGGACTCACTAGGGGCGAGCCTGACTCGACTAACTTTCCTCTCGCGACCACCCCTCCACGAGTTAGGAAAGCTAAGCTCCATGCCAAGTTGAAGCCTCCTGACATCGTCTGGCCTTTCAATGCACCGAGCTGCAGCAATATGCAAGCATGCATTGGCGGGAGCTCAGTCGAGTACCAGATCGAGAGGCCTCAAAATCGCTTGCCTGAGTTCCAAAACGGCCAGCAGGGACATGAAGCACCCAGAAACTCACACAATCGGGTACCTGCTAAAACAGTCTCACTGCGAGAACCCAGCATCGGCTTCAGAGTTTGCAAACACGAAGCTTCTTTGGAAAAGTTGCGAGATATGACAAGAACCCCAAGCCAAACGGTGAATGGAGCGAAGCATGCAGCTACTAGACTCAGACACTGGCAATATGACAGTCCCAGTGTGCCAATGTAAGCTCACAGTACACTGATCCATTCACTCGGACACCAATCGTGAGACAAGAGGCTGTTTAAGAGTTATTGCGGCAGACCAAAACAAGAACTCTCTGCAACACTTCACCAAAAGACTCTCAAGCCACCCTGCAAGAAAGCATGCCCTTCAGCACTGAGATGTTTTTATCAAGACACTTCTCAAAGAGCTGAAATCGCTGTCAGTGGTGCTCACGGGATCTCCTGCAGAACGTCGCACACTTGTCGGACGTTAACACAATTCGATTCCTCGTGAGCAGCTGGCGGTCCTGGCTCGGTAAGTGCATGTCCGGCCTGCCTCGAACAGAGCAGGGCTTTCAATGAGTGGAACAAGTCTGGGGCTGCACATTACAGAAGCAGTCGTGCGTGAGGATGGTGACACTGACACACCCGATACGGAGAGTGCTGAAAATCACTCTAGAAACTCCAAGATCTGTAGGGTGATCCCGACAGGTGCAAATGCATGCACCAATCGAGTCGATAGTGGAATCCTTCTTGAGCAAGCCATTATCAGAATATCAACACCTGGGCAAACAACATCCCAACAGTTCTCGCAGCGCCACAGACTTTGGCCTGCTGCAAGGCTTACCAGCATGGACAACGTTCTGTTTAATAGCCACAACCGCCCACCCCGTTCAATTCCCGCCATGGCACAAATGACCCCCTGAAGCGGCCATGCATGCACGATGCGGGCGAAGCAACAGTTTTCGTTCGCAGGCACCGCTTCCATGCGCTCCATTATGTAGTCAAACGTGCCACGCACCCGGCCAAGCCATCGGAACTCACCCCGAAGCACCTGCAACATCTGCACGTCTAATGTCATCGGATCGGAAAAAGCCGTGAGCAAGCAATAAGTCTCAGAAAGATACTGCACGTCCATCAGGCAGCTCGTCTAGCTGACCAGCCTCGGCATCGCCGGTTTTAAGAGATAACGGCATGCGCAATGGTGGTACCGCAGACATCAGAGCTCGCGGCATAGTGATATGCACCAGGCACCTGCATCCATTATCAACCATGTTTCATAAGGCGTCACTCTGATAGACCGCGAGCTTGCCTCTGCAATTTTTTCTTTCCATGCCAAGCACCACTTGCGCTTACCACCAAGCGCCACGATGTCTGCACAAAGATTTCCCTCCAGGTGCCGGGGACAAAGAAAAGGTCTGACTTCGCCATGAAGGATAGAAAAGATTTTGCAAATGGGACACCAATGCTTTGAATGGTGAACCGGACCTGCCATGCACCGTGAAGGATGATGCGATGGCCGCCCAAATCCTTCACCGAGGCTGCTCTTGGTGTATGAAGCGTCGCTCGACACGACTGCTCTGCGCCTGTCTTCGGTGCACCGCCTGTCCCTGCATAGCAAGGCTGCCACCTGATTTCTGAAGCCGGACAGAGCCTAACCTCACCCTTTGGCAAATCCTTGCGCCCCGGCTGGAGAAAGTGCAATCTGCTTCGGTTGCCATTTCCCCTTTGCTATCACGCACCTGTACAAAGATCGTCTCTGCGAGCAGCATGCACCCGATGGCTCGAGAAAGGATCCGGCCGTACCAATGAGGTGCCAGACACTGGAAACGACGCGAAGATCCTTTGTGCAGGATCCCACGCAACCCGTCCAAAGTTTCCGCCGAGCTTTGGTTAAGAAACAGGCAACACGGCGTGCTTGAGCACGTGAACTGCAAGAAGCCCTCCAGGAAGCATGCACCTCGAGACCAAGCTCGAAGCAGCCGTGGGGCCTGCTGCGACAAACGGTAGTGTCCGGGGTCCCGGCTTGCCGGAGTTCAAACAAAGATCCTAGCCATCGGTATGAAAATACCTGGACTCGACTCGCAGCTCTCGGCTCGGGAGCTTCAACAAAGCTCACAAGACACATTCCGAGATGGACTTCGCTGACCAAACAACATCATCACAGATCCCTAGCAAAATACGCAGTCTCCGGCAACCCTGCCTGGCGCCAGCAAGCCTCTGACGACTCCTGCAGAGCGGGCAAAACACTGTGAACAAATCAGCACATCGCAAAATTATGAGCATTACTGAGCGGCTGAGCGAGTGGCAGCCCAACCACGACAAACCATCGAGGCCGAGCCCAATGCTGGAAGATCTAAACCTTCGCGCTTTGTCTCTGCAAACACTCACTGCACTTGGTGCCGTGAAATACGCTCTGAGGGACCAACACACCAGCATCTGTGGAAGGGCATCGCCCAACGTTCGGGCTACATCGGCCATCGCCATGCAAAGACCAGTCGGTCACTGCTTCACATGTCGGGGCCCGAATGATCACAAGTTGCTGCTCACTTGCTGGTATATGCATGCTCACCAATGTTTGCAAAGGCCTGAAAGATGTCTTAAGCTGGATGCTTCCAGCCGACCAGACACGCCAAAGGCACACATACCGGCAAACAACATGTTTTGCGATGTCGAAGCAGCGAAACACATGAAACCGTCAAATGCTGAGCTCCTGGCGCAGCGTCGTCGAAACTGTAGCTTCGAAAGAAACACATGACCACGGCAGTCCAACTATGCTCCAAACATCCTTTGAATCTTTGAATTACTTTCAAGGCATTATTATAGCGAGTTCCCTTTTGATGTCATGCTTTTCGATGTTCTGGCTGATCTGACTCACTGGCACAACGGTGATGGGTTTGGATCTGTGGGCTGAACTAAAACACTCGAGATCCTTGTTAACAAGCGGCAAGACACAAGCTCCATGGGCAAACTTCAAAAGAAAACACGCTGATCTCTGAATTTGCAACGGAGTCAAAGCTCGTGATTGAAATTATAAGCAAAAACCGCATTCGTCGACATGCCGAATAGATGGCGCTTGTTCTCTAAAAACAAACCATTTCACTTGAAACATTGCAATGCACTCGCTCACATGCTTGTTGGTTACCGCGACGAACGGAAAGATGTTGAGGAAGTGGTTCTGGAAACCTTGGAGTCGGACCCCCCCTCCGTTTAGTACTGTTGATGAAAATCCAATCTTTTATCTAGTGGCCGGTTCAGTTTTCGAACCGAAGCTTGGACCGTCCAGGGTCCGGATCGCAGAAAAAAACGAGCACAAGAGGTCGGACCTAAGTTGCAAACCTGGACCGTATACGGAGTTAACAACCACATTTTCCGTCCAAAAGTTCCATAGAAACTTGGCACGTATGTTGATTATTTAAATAAGATGCCCAGCATTGGAACGTCACCGAGATGTAACAGTACTGAGGTCAATGTGACATTGATACAATTTCCACATGCAAAACGAACAACACGCCAGATTTGGCCAACCTCTTCCAACTTTTTCAAACTATATTTTATGCTGCGCCAACGCTGACATTTCAAAACACAACGTCTTCGCTTTGATCATTCACGTTTTTGCTGTCAAGAACTTTTCATAGAGTTTTTGAGAACGGGCAAATGAACATGTTTCCGAATCCAAGATTCGGAGAAACATCACGTCGAAACTCGAGGAACTGCGTGGAGCACAGGGTTTCGAATCCAGAGTTCGAACATGCTTTCGAACATAGAATGCAGAACCTAGAATTCAAACATCAGTTCCGAAAACTCATACTGGGACTGAATGCATCGGAGTTGAACGGATTCGAACACCGTGTTCAAACTCCGAGTTTGAATACTGGTGTAAACTCCAAGTTTGAATGCCGAGCACCAGTCTATGAAACTTTTACGAACGCAAAGAAAGAGAAGTGCACGAGACACTTTGTGGGACTTCGAGTAAACAAAAAAAAAAACGAAGAAACAGTGTTTGCAACCCGACTCCAAGTTTCAACTGAATCGAGCCACAAGTCCAAAGGCTGTCATCTCTGCAAGCTTAATGCTGGAAATCAGAAGCTCGTGAAATGGCCCGCATCGAAGGTCGCCAACGCACCCAAAAAAAACTAGTGTGCCTTTGGTCGAGCAAGATTGGCAACTGGTAACGGTCGTGTTGTGCTTTCAAGTGTGCTGCAGTAAACGCCTTTTGGTCAGTTTGCTTGTTGGTTCTCGATTCCAGGTTTTCCCATCGTTGAAAAGTTGAAGTTCCAAAGTTTACGTGTTCAGGGGGTCAGAACCAGAAGCTCCCTTTAGAAGTGGTTTTGTAGGGGGCATAAGTACATTTCTGTTGTGTCACAAGTGGCTCCAAAAGAGACAAAATCTTGGGTCGTTTCGAACGAAAACACCAGACTCAGTGGTGTTGACTTCGGTGGTTTGGACATTCCACAGCTTGTTAAACTATCAAACAGGCAAGCAGGAGTTGTTCTCTGCCACGGTTCGGCGCCACTTCTCCGCTCTTGACGGACGCGCATATTCTTCTGATCAGACAGAGTTGGGAGCACTACAGCTAAGTCGCTGGAAAATTCTGGGCGTTAACTGGAACAATGATATTTAGTTTGTTGCAATTGATTGACTTCTCGCAAAAGAAAAAAGTGGATAAAATAAGAAAGTGGCCCACGCTGGGCTGCCGTTTAAACCGGCTGATAGATTTGATTCTTTTCAAGTCTCTAGTGGAGTCCGTTTATGCTCATGAAGCTTGACGGCACCACTTAGGGTACTTTTCAAGGATGTTCCAGCTAAGAGAGGTTGCAATGTAAGAAATAGAAAGCAGACAGTGCCAGCCGGAACTCCGATTTCTGGAGATACCCAAGTCTGCATAGAGGTGCCGCATTTGGCACTTTAAGCGTTTGAAAGCACCTTCTGTCTATTGTCTTCACTTATCTGTACATTACACAGAAGCCACATAATGCGACCTGCTGCACGGCGGTTGACTTGCGGACGGTTGACAGCTGTTTGTGAGAACAAGAAACAAGAGTTTTGCCGTCGAAATGGAGGCGGCCTTCGGCCAGCAACCGCGATATTGTTCAGAAGTTCCATCGGCGATGGCATGTCCATTCTTTTCCGCCCATCGTGGATGCTACAGTCTTGCTGGTTGTGGTTGTTGATGAAGATTTAGACCCAGCTTTATCTGGTTAGAGCTGGCAGCGGCCACAACAGGCGGGCCGCAAGCAAGAAAGACTGCCTTCCCAAAATGCCAACAAGATGGACCTAGGCAGCCGACTGCTAGCACCAATCTTATGCAAGCCTTTGTCCATGTTCTCTACTCAACAAAGACCTTCTAGCATGCTTTGGGTCGGTCCACAATAAAAAAAACCATCAGAGCTCTTGCGAAGCTTTGGTCTTGTTGGTTCCTGGAGTTTGCAAAGGCAATTGCAAGACCGCATCGACACTGTGCATAGTGGTCAAACCTTCCACCTCAAGAAGGTGAGAGTAAGACTGGGGACTCTCCACCAGCGTAGCTCCAAGAGAAGCACTTGTATCGGCAGGGCGAAAGATGTTGCCCTCACTTCCCAGAGCCAAGACAATGAAGCTCCATCTCTAGCTAGTGGAGGTCAGGCTTGCCTGCTTGGCATGTTGCCATCAGGCTGCTTATCCACTAGAAGCCACCATACCTACGGCCTGGCTAATTTCCGCCAAGACAGATTGTTGGCGCTGATGGTAAAGCTTGATGCCTCAGCCTCCCTTGCAACACCGAAGCTGCATAGCTCTGTCCGCAAAAATTGCAAATGTCGCATCCAAACTGGACGTTGATGCGCACCGACCCTGCAGTTAGAGAGATTGGAAGCGACAAGAGCGTGTCACAGTTATCCCTGTTCACTCGCCACGTGCCTCCGCGGGGAAAACGCTCCACATCAAGAGTCAAGAGTGACAGCGTGTGGGTCCACTGTGTTGAAGACAGGAAAGAAGTAGCTAGAGACACAGGACTGCCCCCCCGTCAGGATTTTATCGGGGCCCCGCAGGGTAGCCCTGCCTGGGTCTTTGAGCCATGCACGCCGCCATTTGGCTTTGGGCAGCAACACGCGCAGTAACAATGCAGCATGCTTGGCCGGCGCGGACATTGCCCTTTCCAAGCTTTTCAGGTAATGGTCGTGGCTTGCAGTGACGCACAGCTCCTGCGAGCCTACCCTTGTTGGGTGGCAGCGCTTGTGGTGACGCACGAGTAGGTGAGCCCTGTTTGGTTCCTCCCGCAAGGAGCCAGGTGTCACGTCATGGCGTCGCTCCCGGAGCTTGCGGTGACACCTGTCGTTCAATGCCTCTCTGTGCAAACGTTGCCTTGCTATTTGGCTCTCCACCGTCGGAGGCCACGCGTCAAATACTTCCCGCCGTTGACCCGCATGTGCGCCGGCAGCAGGAGTGGTCTTTCAGCGGCAGCTTTCTCAGCTGCAGGAGTGGGTTTCTCTTTACTTGGTGCAACGCTCCTTCAGAGGGGTCACGGTTTCGACCAACTTCCGTCCGCCTCGGTTTTCAGGTGCGCGCCACTATTCGGCAGGTTGAATTGGGTTCTCTTATTTCGATGGCTTCGGTGTCGCGCCTTTGGTGCTACCTTGTGCTTCTACAGTACGCGGGCACGGAATTTTTCAGCTCCGGGACCATTCGGCATGCCATTGCATCAGCGCAGTCGTATGCCGTGGGTTGGCCCGGCCTGGCGGGGCGCCTATACTTTCCCATCGAAGACCTTCATCAACTACCTATCACACGCCTGCACTCGCTCTTCAGCCCTGTGCATCAACCTGCGTGGCTTCTAGCCACCATCACAAGTGCGTTCGCCCTTGCGAGGCCCACCCTGGTGGGAAGCTGGGCTCGAGACTTACTCGTTGTCTGGAGGTAGTATTTCCTCCACTATCCCTGTTTGGTTGTACATGTCGCTTGGAGGCTGCCCACTTGTGGCACCTCCTCCAGCCGCTATGGCTACACACTTCTGCCCTTGCGAGGCCCACTGGTGGGCTGGGCTCGGGATTTACTCGTTGTTTGGAGATTGCCACCTCACTTGCAACCTATTGCACGGTTGCATGCCGCTTGTCGTCTATCCACAGGCGGCACTGTCTCTAGCAGCCACGGCAGCACATTTCTGCCCTTGCGCGTCCCACTTGGGCGGGAAGCTGGGCTCAGGTTGCATCTCGTCTGTGGGAGTTTTCCTTGTTGCCCTCTGCTGGCTCTGCAGGCGCAGTGCCTGCTCGTTAACGCGTTGCAGGAGTCATCCACCCTGCTACATTTGTATGCCCTTGCGAGACCCACACTGGTGGGAAGCTGGGCACAGGATTTACTCATATTGGGAGAGTGCTACCTTCCCGCTGCCTTACCACATGTCTTCACGCTGCTTGTGGTCTGTGACTACGGCCGTGTTTCCGACCACCATGGCTGCACGTTTC